AGAGGTCCAGTAACGATCATCTCTTATTGATCCAGTGTTACTACATGAGGAAACCTAAACTAAACTAACTTTATTTATACTGGATAGCTCTATCAGTTATAAACTGTTCTTCCTAGAGGTCCAGTAAGGCTATTACGCAAATGGTCAATTGAATTAAAAAAATACTTTCATCTGTTTGGACCTCTTTCTCATGGTAGGTTTTAGATGTTCCTGCATGGTCGGCCTCCTCAAAATCACCAAATAGCTTTTGACTTGGGCTGCTCACAGTGATTGTTGATTACTTTTATTGTCTAATTTCACAATAAATTGACAATATCTATATTTTCCTTTGGTGAATTTTCCTGAAATTTTTTTTGAAGATTTATGGTCCATAAAGGAAAAATATATCAAAATTTGAAGGGAGTTTACAAATAAGTTTTGGAGATATTGGTGAATGACGGTTACAGAAAAATTATTTGTAGAATTTCTTAAAATTTGGATATGTTGTACCTTACAGCAAATATCATTGGCAATAATTCTAACTGTCAATAATAGCAATATTTTGGAAATATTTCTTCAGAAATCTTGTTTGGACTAATGAAAGTTTTCTTCTCTGAAGTTTTGAAACAAATAGATGTGCAGAAATGTATAAACTAAAACAGCAGGTTAAAATTTAACCCAGATAAATGCCAGATTCTACAGACATGTTTCATGGAATGAGGAATTTGGCATTTTAGAGGCAAGTTCGTGGCCAACCAAGGAAAAATATTTGTTAAAAATGTTTGGGAATTCTGAAGCATTGGGCGGTAGAGAGTATTTGATAAAGCATCCCAACTATCCGCTTCCCCAACAGCATAAGCCTTCATGAACATTTGTAAGTGCCTGGTCTTTTGTTGGTAGACAAGCCTCTAACTGAGACTTAGTGGCGAGAACGACTCTGATGTCTGGACCGACTTGAAGTGAATGAACAAAACTGCCTTGAGACTGTTTGCATTTCTCTATTAGCTCTGCCAACTCATTTTTGCTATGCTGCTTCGAAGCTTGCCTCGTCTCTTGTCTTCGGTATTTTCTTAGCGTTCTTGTGCGGTTCCACTGTAATATCTGTGGGATCTCCAGAAAATTGATACTGTAATATAACGACGGGAGATTTGTCGCCAGATGATCCTCTAATTCAGTCAGCCGTCGCTTGAAATCAGAGTTACTAGAATGCACCCAATATGTTCTGGAAAGCTTATACTGCCCCCGTTCAAGAGTGTCTGTGCAGGCCATAGGCATCGCTGTACATACCATCTCATGGTTGGGATTCAACATCAATTCACATGCAATTTTAGTTGATATGAACGGGGCAGATGATTTAAAAACTGGGCAGTGCTTGTTAGAATTATAAAACTGCAGATCATCTTCGTCACTGTCAAATAAATGAAAATAAATCTGATATGACAAAGAAAAAAGTAATCACTTTACATGCGTAACATTTTTACTTATTTTACTCAGACAATATCTTCGGGAGATAAAACAGTCTCGGATTTGCTAATGTGTTGAGAAAGGATGTTTGTGAATATTGTGGAACATTTTTTTGATTCGCATACAATTAGTCTTTGTTCATTTGTGCCTTATTATATATTTCCGCGTTAAGAGGTTTATGCAATGCGTGAACATTTCTAACCCAAGCATCAAGCAAGTAATTTGTAAGAAATGTCTTTTCCAAACTTTATTTCATAACACTTATTTTGTGGGATTAGAATACTTTTCCTGTTTTTTATTAAAATTAAACAGTAATAGTATTATACTGTAGCATCTAAAAATTATAGGTGTTACCTTGTAGTCTCGTCTCCACTTTCAAACAACCTTTTCGAACATGTAGGCTTGAATCTGCAAAAGTAGCCTAGACTAAGTAATACGCCAATACTGTGTTTTAAATTTGTTTTTGTGTGCAAAGACAAATATTAATGCACATTTAATTGCGATAAAAAATAAATAACCAGAGGGGAATCATCACGGACAGATGTCCAGACTGCATAACTCCTCCACAAAAAGTCCAGTTGTGGCTGTTGTGCATATCAATACCATACATACATTATACACTTTATTACATAGTCAGTTTTCTCTGCATAGATTAAACCAATTTTTATCTTAATAAAAGTTACCTTTAAGATACTTGAATAAATACTGCAATTCGGCAATTTTTTTCAAAGTTTTTAACAAAGTTTTTTAGATTTTATACACATACCTGTTGCTCCCTGTTTTAATTTTCTTCCGACTCGGAGAAAATTGCGCGAAGTCGCTAGTTATCTGGTCCACAGCCTAAAATTTTATCAAATTTATATTAATAACATATTTTTTTTCATTAATAACATTTTAGGGCACTAAAAAGGTCGAACGCAATGCCAATTAAACATAATTGTACAGGTGTGCAATTAAAGATAAATTAAGTTCTAATTGTAGTTCCGAACCCGCGGTTTGTCAGCAGTAGATTAAAAAACAATCAATTCCGTTTTCACAACGTTTTGTCGACATTTACATGTAACAATGAATTTTGATGTTTTTGACATTGAACTTAAAAGTAAGTATACTAAAATGACATAATTTAACAGGAAGTTACGCTTGTTCTTGAAGTATTTTAAAATGAAAAATTGCACTTGTGATGTTGTTTGCCGAAATACATTTTTCATTAATACTTCTCGAACCGTGTAAATTCCTATACTAATCATAGTAATATTATTTCAGTCTGGCGATTCCAATTTCAGTCTGGCGATTCCACATGTCATCAGTGGCGTCAAGTAACGAAAGTAAATGTACGTCGTTACTGTACTTGAGTACTATTTTTGAGAGTCAGCATTTAACAAAGTAAACGTTTTCTGGAGTACTTTTACTTGGAACGAAGTCGTTTTAAGAAGTAACGTTTTACCTCGTTATTTTCATTTTGTGGCGAAGTATTTCGTTACTTTCTAACTTTTGTTTAATTTTACGTGATTTATTCCTGATTTATTTTAATTTTGGGATAGGTAATAGGACCTCTACATGCGACTGGAATCTCTCGTTTGTGGCTTACCTATAAGCATTAATTGTTTTAATGGATTTCTTATATCGGGTCTGGAACGCAGACCATGCCGTGAAATATTGTATATAGGTGCATGCACGCATATAATGCGTGTGCTGTTTTTGTGTCTTTGCCTCCAGTACTTTTTACTCTTACTCACTTTAATTACTTCTACTTTTACTCGAGTACAAATTCAAAGTAATTTAGGTACCACTGCATGTCATGCACTGTGATTGTAACAGTGTCAATTTTTTCAGCAATCGTTTTAGAGATTTTGAAGCCAGTGCTTTTTAGTTTTTCTGAGTTATGAGGTAAACAAATTTTAAACATTGTAAATTTCATGTTTTCATTTTGTTCGTTTCCAAGGCAACATAGCAATTGATTTGTGCTAGCCCATATCAAGGATAAGGATGAATCCATAGCATCTTCGCAAATCGAATTTGTGACTTGTTTTAAATAATCAATGATTATCCTAAGTAGACCACAAAAGTGTTTGGCATAGCTAAAATTGCTAAATTATTATTAATTAACCAGTACTCAGAAAGAGAATTGAAAGGCTGATATTTGTCCCTGAGCATGCATGCCTGCCAACCCTGGTCAATTTACCTCATGACAAATCATTTCTCACTTCTTCTTCCAGAGTTAAGTCAATCTAATAAATTAGTCAAAAAATAACTTGGAACTAAAACTACTTGGTACCAATAATAATTTAATGGAAGCCATTTTGAAGCCTAACCCTAACCTTAATCCTAACTCAAAATTCTAAACTAAGACTAACCTAAAGCTTATAATTAATGTTGGTCTTCCACCCTTCTCACCATGTCCCTCTTACCCCCCACCAATTTCCCACCTGGCACCTGGGTGAGACTTTTTTTATTTATTGGTTTACGATTTGACTTTAAAAATAAGAGATCGGTAGGTCGGAAAATTTAAAAAAAAAACGAACTGTGTCTAAATGAGAACCGAAATTAATAATCTTTTATAAAATTTTTTAACATCAATTTAAAAAAAACGCAAGAAAACGTGGCTAATCTACATGCATACTGATTGTCACAACGATAACATGAGCCAGCAGTACCTAGAGTCAATGTTCACTTGAAGTGTACTTCATGTCAGAACCCCAAATTAAACTAAAATTGTAAAAGTTTTGACATCCAAATTTTTTTTTATTTTTCACTTTCTGAATATTTATGGTCGGCGGATTTTTATCCTCAGTCTGCATTTTGTACCCAGTCCGGTCTGCAGTCCGCAGCGCGAGTGGCTTTAGACATAATAAAACACGACCTGCGAGTTTATTAAACAGCTTCAAACACGACTACAAATTCAATAGATATACTGCCTATTAGTATTCTTTATATAAAGAATACTAATGAGGACAGACTACAATAGATACTGCCTTATTAGTATTCTTTATATAAAGAATACTAATTAGGAGTGTTTTATCAGGTTTAAAGCCACTGCACGTGACATATTATGGTTGACATGATTTGCCAATAAGCTTATGAATTATTAAGAGTGTTTGAAAACAAGAGCTCATTTCTATACAGTACTGTACATATATTATATTGTCGGCAGGGGGGGTTACTATTTTTTAGAATTCATGTGAAGGGGGTCATTGAATTTTTTTGTGATGCAGGGGGTGGGCAGGCCATTTTTAGTTGTTAATTTAATGTTGCCAGCCCACCCCCGGTCATAAATAATGAATGGTCCCTTAGGCAGATCTCCATCAGTGCAATTATAAGTTATTATAAGACCCAGGCCTGTCTGGAATCTAAAAAATCGCATGCCAGATAGTACTTTACAAAACTACATTATAGGAATATGTTTTGTTTTTTTCTCTGAAAGTAACATTGAGTTCTTTCGGTCTACCGAAAAACTGCCTCACGCACCAGAGATTAATGTTCAAGAGTCTTATGAGCCAATGAGTTGTGAGTTATGAATAAATGAGTTGTGAGTCTAAAAAATCGGGTTTTATTGTATTTAACGTCTGCAATCATGGCTTCAATTTTTGAATTGTAGAAAACGCATTCCAAACAAATTTGAGAAATTCCAAAATGCCTATATTGTGCGGAATTTACGTAAATTTTTGGCAAAATATCAAAATAATTTTGTTGATAGGTTATATTAACATTTATGCTAATCATGCATGTAAACAGTATAAATACAGTAGGTTCTTATTATGTATGTTACTTAGGTTCTAGAGAATAATAAAGCAATATTAACATATTTGTGATGTTACTCTGAGTGTGTATCCACACTGGGCGAGCTTGAAAAATATGCCCAGCCACGGTGGGATTCGAACCTACGACCTTTTGAATACTAGCCCAATGCTCTTCCAACTGAGCTACGCGGTCAGGACGGTTCGAGTAAGTGATATTTCGGAACAAATCTAGTTCCTTCGATACCATGTATTGTAATATGATTTTAAGAGGCATAACTGTTGCCTTTAATAATTTGCAAGACGACATAACTGAAACATCGATTGAAATCAACTATACATGCCCTGACTTTGAGCTAAGAACAAAGTTTGCTACTTCGTAATCCTAGTACAATCTGTCGTTGATTTTGTTGTTGGTATTTCGGCATGCCTCTGTTCATTGTCTTTCTAGCTGCGCCGTTGTTAGCCATTCAAAACTGCCTTGCTATCGTGATTTTAATCCAATCTGTATTCATGACATGCAAAGCTTGTTTCATTGCTGTGTTCTGTTTTGTCATATGTTTGCTGCCGTCTGCAATAGGTCCAATTCTTTTCGGCAATGAAAGCGCACAGTTCCCCGCTGCAGAGCTTTTTAACTGGACAGTGACCTTGTATGGTTTAAATTCAAGTTTGAATTCAATGATATTTTTCTGGAACAAAGCATTGTTAAGAAAAGAAGCTGCGCTGTCCTGAATTCAATTTTGTCGCGGCTGTATTAGCGCATTTTGCTGTGTGGGAAAAACGAGTGGCAGTTGAACATTGAAAACAGATGTTTCACAAACGAATATTCACATAGATAATATATCGTATTATTTCAACTGATAGAACGGCTCGTTAACTATATATTGTAATTATAGCAAGATAATTATTGAAACCATTAACCCTTCAAATGTACTGTATATCATTTATGAAGAACGTTTTTATTTAACTATGTATACTGTAGAAGGCAAACCGCATGCTTGGATTTCTGCGTCGGAACTGCATGTAAGAAATAAATTATGAAAAGAAAACTGATGATTTACCGTGTTTAACAAAGTTGATACATATGTATGTTTGTGAAAGAAAACACATCATGACCGTCAAGGAGTTTGTATATCTGATACAAAGTCATACTGATTAAAACAAACTTTAATTTCAATTTTCTCATCAAATATCATCCATTTATTTTAAATTGTTGAAGAATACGAATAGCCCCACCCCCGGGATTAGGAAAGCCCCGAAGGGGGGGGGGATGGGCACTGCTGGAATTGACTGATACATAATGATGGACATTGCCCAAGGAAAAAGCATTACCTTTGGATGAAAAATTAGCAAAAGTTTGTCTTGCTTTGCCGTATACCGGGCAGAGTAAAATGCAGAATGCGTTAATTACGCATTGTATAATTTATGCCAACAACATGAGAGCATTGCCCAAATTTTTAAGACCGGGGATGGGGACTTAAGGTTACAGAACACCTTTGAGTGTTAATTTTGCCTAAATTTTTTTATTGGTTTCCATGAAAGCATTAGACTAGTTCTACTATCTGACCAAGTTTAACGAAAAATGTTGAAAATTCGCAGAGTTATTTAATAAAATACATTTCGCACCATATTTTGCATGCACTGGAGAACAATTTGGTGAAAATTTGATGAAAAGAATAAATCCTAACCTCAAAAAAAACGATCATTTTACACACACAAGTAACATTCTCACCACTAGGTCCATTACAAGGTTAGTTGCTTGCCGTTTTTTCTCCATGTATAATTAGTGTGGAGTTTATGAAGAAGAACATCAACAATAAAATATCTTTAATTGTTCTTATCAATCGCTGTTTAAGGCAATATCCTTTGTAATAATTATAGATTATAGTGAGGAAATGTTATAGTGGACGGCTGTTCCGTTTTCCCAAGAGATTTAATTAAGGGTCACTCTTTATTGTTTCATTATTACTGCAAGAGAAAACATTACATGGTCAATTCTAATAGCTCTATCAGTTCTAAACTGTTCTGCATAAAGGTCCAGTAAGGATCATCTTTTATTGATCTAGTGTTACTACAGGAGAAACCTAAACTAAACTAACTTTATTTATACTGGATAGCTTTATCAGTTCTAAACTGTTTTCCTTAGATCGGGTCTAGTAAGGATATCTCTTATTGATCCAGTGTTACTACAGGAGGAAACCTAAACTAAACTAACTTTATTTATACTGGATAGCTTTATCAGTTCTAAACTGTTTTCCCTAGAGGTTTAGTAAGGATCATCTCTTATTGATCCAGTGTTACTACAGGAGGAAACCTAAACTAAACTAACTTTATTTGTACTGGATAGCTCTATCATGCAGTTCTAAACTGTTTTCTCTAGAGGTCCAGTAAGGATCATCTCGTATTGATCCAGTGTTACTATTGGAGGAAACCTAAACTAAATAATATCTCTATAAATATTTTCAATTTTTTCTTGCTTGTATGAAAACCTCTAATACTGATATTGAAAGAAAAATTAAACTCTTACAAAAACACGTGTGATTTTGGCTCGTGTTTCGGGGTTAGGCTTTATAGTCAATATTATTTGTCTTTCGTTTCCATATCATCAGATCAATATCATATTCATCACATCAATGTTATATGTACACTGATGAACTGCTATTATATATTTAGAAAATTTTATCTCAAAATTGACCAAACTTGTCAAAGTCAGTCATTTCGACCTGTAGTTCAATTATTCCGTATCTGAAATAATCGACTTATTTTGATCAAAAGCAGCGTGCATTAACCGTAGTTCCTTCTACAATTTTATATAGCTAGTGTAGTTTCACCATAAAGTATTAATGATATATTTTTGTTTATGCTATCGTAAGCTATCAATTCTATATGCATTCTACAGTTTATATACATACTACGAAAAAGCACTAAAAACTTTTAAAATCTAAATTATGCTAAGGTATTAAATCGTATATCTATACTAGACTGTTCAGCTATAATTCTCGTTCAAAGAAAATGTCTGGTCTGTAATTGTTTTTCAAATTTTTGCTGAGATCAGCCACAATAATTGATCAGTATAAACAAAAATGAGAAGTAATTACTTTAAAAAATGCGAAATATGCCTAAGAAACAATGTTTCCTGGTTTGTTCACCTTTGGGAAACATGGCTAGGAAACAATGTTTCCTGGTTTGTCCACCTTTGGGGAACATGGCTAGGAAACAATGTTTCCTGGTTTGTCCACCTTTGAGAAACATGGCTAGGAAACAATGTTTCCTGGTTTGTCCACCTTTCGGAAACATGGCTAGGAAACAATGTTTCCTGGATTGGCCACCTTTGGGAATGTGTCTGTCAAATGTTCCCGGGCTTGTTCTACCTCTAAAAGTTCATGAATTTATTACATTCAAAGACTGATATCGCTCCTCGTCCCTATCACGAAATATACTTAATTCTTGGTAACTGTTGTTCTCATTTCCAACAAAGCTCTATCAGTTCTTCTGAACATCATCTCTTTGATCCAGTGTTACTACAGGAGGAAACCTAAACTAAACTAACTTTATTTATACTAGATAGCTCTATCAGTTCTAAACTGTTCTTCCTAGAGGTCCAGTAAGGATCATCTCTTATTGATCCAGTGTTACTTCAGGAGGAAATCTAAACTAAACTCACTTTATTTATACTGGATAGCTCTATCAGTTCTAAACTGTTCTTCCTAGAGATCCAGTAAGAGTCATTTCTTTTTGATCCAGTGTTACTACAGTACATGAGGATGCCTGTCAATTGTAAAGCAGTGTTTACACGTAAATTTCAACCACAAATTTCCTGATCTTTTTGTATAGTCAATGTAAGGAGAAGAATCGACAACAGACCGTACTGTGAAATGATACCTGTGTTCCCATGCAGAAATGATACCTGTGTTCCCATGTTGAGTGGAACTGCGAAAAAGGTAAAGTTCAATTTTGCCCGAGGAAATGTTGTAGGCATGCCAATATTACTTCCTGCATTTTATAGACATCATTCACATGCAAAAAAGATCGGCCCGGAAGCGTACGCTAATCTCTCCGCTTTCGTTTGGTTTCGTTTCGTCTGTTATAGCTGCTATAATTTCTCTAATTTCACGTGGGCTGTGTGAACGCGAAAGACGAAGTCTTGCGCTCAAATTAAGCTGCGATTCGAAGGGTGCAGTATTGAAAGTACTTTGACACATGAGAGAAGCCTCTTACATCCTTCAATCAAATGCGTATATACAATCTCTATTGTTCGAGTCACGGAAGGTAACTTTCCGAAGACATTGCTATTGGTTAGTTGAGCAAAAATACAATACACACGTGACGGTGAAAGATCAGATTTATGATAAACGTTGACTAACCTCACTCACTAACATAGATAACGAGTTATATTTTCTAATAAGAGTTTCACAGCCATCTTCCATTCGATAGGCTTTGATGTATCTAACATGTAAGATGAAGCTTCTTGTTCCGCAATTGGCATATGGTATCTTCATACGCAACGTAAACAGCTTTTAATATGGCGTTTGAATAATTACGCTCAACTTGTTATAATATTGTTCATGAAACAGTCACTTAAACGTTTTACCAAAGGCAAATTTAATATATTTTTCTTCAGGCATGAAACTACAGCTAGGTCATGATGCCGTAATTTTTGTACTGTGCGACCGCCAATACCGTGTATAAATATACTCGAGCGGTTCCTTCAAGTTTAAATGTTCGGGACATACGTCAGTCGGACCGATATTCCAAGTCAGACTTAAGTCGACGTACAAATGAATGACCTAGAACTAAAACTATTGGGAGCGCCATTGGTGATTATTATCGAAGAAAAAATTTATAGCTATTATATAAGTAAGAAAATATATAATTAATCTCACCTGATATAGAGACTTGAAATTTAATATTGATCTGTTCACCAGTTTAGTTGACAGTTGTAGCCGAATGACAATTGCTTAGCGTAGCTGGCCATTTTATAATGATACCAACCACACCTTTCACTCCCTAGCTTTTCGCGCTCTATTTTAAGTATGGCGCCAAGCTAATGATATTAAGAGTGTTAATCTTCGTAACGGCTTAACACCTAGCCTACTTTGCCATGTCTAGTTCTTGCTTATACAAGCACCTTATAGATATAAAGGCGATTTTACTCTGATAAATCACATTACATAAATTCCTTCTTCGCATGTATTTTGTTAATAATACAAGGCAAATGCAAAAATCATGCACTAACTAAAATCTTACTACATTACGCTAGTCTAGACTATGTTACTAATTCTTGCTAAATAATTTAAAATCTCTTCAAAGTTTCAGCTCATGCTAATTTATAAGTAAATAAAGATAGCTAATAATGACTAAAAATGTTGATACAAGCACTAAAAATAAATTTGTTAAAACAACCAATATGGCGTTACATTGGTTATGACACAGGCGGCCCAGAAGTGTATTAGTGTAATAGCGTATAGTACGTAAATACATCATTATAGAATATACTACACAGTAAAACTTGTAATGAATTTTATATTTTAAAATCATATTTACTTGCCTACTTTGATTGTATGTGATCGTATTTCATTTCTGAGCGACTTTACACTCTTTGCCTGCGACTGTCTTCATAGGTGATAGCAATGACGACAGTCGCAGGCACATGTGTAAAGTCGCTCAGAAATAAAAGACGACCACATACAATCAAAGTAGGCAAGTAAATATGATTTTAAAATAAAAAATTCATTACAATTTTACTGTGTAGTATATTCTATAATGGTATATTTACTATACACTAATACACGTCTGGGCCGCCTGTGTTTATGTCAGACTCAAAGGGAATCTGAGACCTCGTCTGAGACAGCCAATCTGTTGGTTATTTTAACCAATTTATTTTTACAGCGTTGTCAACATGACTATATGAAACAATGTCTCAGCAAGGTCAATGGTCTGGCCGTTATTCAAAAGTTGTTTTTTTTAAAGTCAAATGTTTGATGCATTCTGGTAAAAGTTGATGAATCTATTGGATTCAAAATTGATATCTCTCCTCTTTCCGATGACGAGTTGCATTAAATTTGTGATAATTACTTTCATTGTAATAAACACGATCGTCGCTATTTCCTGCCTCGGGCTCATCATATTCCGCGCTAAGACGCTCTGCCTCAGGCTCGTCATATTTCGCGCTCAGACGCTCTGCCTCAGGCTCATCATATTCCGCGCTCTGACGCTGTTCCTCAGGTCTGCCCGATGTATAACGTAATCTCATCTTTTGGCTTTCCAATGCAGGCGCCAGTATCTGTTGCTTTCGCGGACACACGTCGTCATATTCGGAATTCTCACGCTCTTCCCCAGGTGTACCCGATGTATAAGGTAATGGCATCTTGTGGTTTTCACTTGCAGGCGAGAGTGTCTCTGGCTCGCGGGGACACACGTCGTCATATTCGGAATTCTCACAATCATCCTCCTTTTTACATTTCTTACAACAACACATCAAAACATACAACACTAAAATTCCCGTCAGGAACGAACAAGCTCCAATAATTAGTCGAATTTTCCATTCCGTTTCAGAATTCCGTTTTTCTTTCTCCAAACACGACTTGAGAGGTAAACTTGCATTCATAAACAACGAACGCTTGTCGGAACTCGCTCCATTTCTTGCCAAACATTCGTACAGTCCAAGACTGGAAATTTTACTGGTGTCGACAGTGTACATGTTTCCATATTTTACTGCAACGTCTCGATGTGAAATCGTGTAATTAGGTTCTGGGAAGCCTTCTGCCTTACAGAGCAAGGATAGCTCGCAACAATTAGCCCCGACTTCTTGAAAAACATTAAAATATTTTATTTGAACTGTTGAATTTTTGGGCACGACTTTAAGGTTAAACGATGTTTTGTTTACCAAATTCCGACTTTTAACGAAGCATGTATATGTTCCACGTTCATTTCTTGAAATATTTTCCAGTGTTAAAATATCAGTAAAATTTTTCACTCCTGAATTCCCTTGTTTATTCCAAAGCCATGTCACTACAGCGGTGGGGTATTGGGGAGTAGTTTTACACACACAAGTAACATTGTCACCTTCGTATACCGTCATATCATTGCAATCGATTAAGACAAAAGGTTTATCTTGAACAATTACTTCAAACGAATTTAGTCTTCTATAAGTTATATTCTTATCACGGCAAAACAATTCCAAGATATATTTACCACTATCCCCAAGTGTAATTTCCCTGAAATTTAAGTTAGCTGTGGCATTACTATCAGCTGTGCCATTACTATCATCTCGAGTCGAATAGATAGGCTGCGTGCAGTTGGGGTCTTTGCGTCCATTACAGGTTTCAATAGCTAGTTGTCTGCCGTCTTTTCTCCAGGTATAATGTTTGTTGGCAGCAACAACAACGACTTTAAACGATTCTCCTTCCTCCGGGTAATACACTGTAAAATAAGGAACTCTCCAGTCACAAAAACATTGACTTAAGGATGTCATTTTATTTAGTATTAAGATAACGCCAATAAGCTTATTCCACGACCAAATCATCTTCAATTGTTCCTATACTGAAATCGTTGTAACCGACAAATGAAAACCTGTTGAGGCAATATGTTCAGTAAGAACTAAATAAAGAATTGACGTAAACAAAACAAAACTAGTTTCACATTCGACAGCTGTATCCGCGCGAAAGTGTTGTCTCAAGAGGTATAAGGACCGCCCTTTATTGGTTCATTATTACTACAAGAGGAAACTTACACACATGATTAATTCTATGTATGCTGGATAGCTGTATGAGTTCTATATTGTTCTTCCTAGAGGTCCAGTAAGGATCATCTCTTATTGATCCAGTGTTACTACAGGAGGAAACCTAAACTAAACTAACTTTATTTATACTGAATAGCTCTATCAGATCTAAACTGTTCTTCCTAGAGGCCCAGTAAGGATCATCTCTTATTGACCCGGTGGAGGAAACGTAAGCTATATATAAACTAAGAGGACTAATATCTGCAGAAGATACACTGAATATATATAGCACTTTTAAGTTATAGAATTAAATATAGATTTATATAGCTTATTTATAATACAAATTTCTTCTTGTTTCCATCGAATACCAGAAAGATGAAATGAGTCGATTATATACAGAGAATTAAAATTTAAACCTTTAGAAAAGGTGTGGTTTCGGCATGTAGCCAAGCTAATGCATGCTTACAAAATTCTGCTTTCGACATCCGGCTAGAAAATACCAAATGAGCGTTGTATGTTAATTGGCTTGGTGACAAAATAATTACTTTGTTTTGAAGAAAACACCACGGTTATCCCTGCATTGAGCGCCACGGCTTTCTCTAGCTTGATGAGTAAAATCGTCTGGCGTTAGATAGAGTAAAATAATAAACTGACTAAGACGCAAGACAATTTACTGAGTTTATCATTTATGCAAACTTTTAAAGTGTACGCGAGAATCTACGCACTACTTCCACTGGGAACAAAAGGAAATGCAGAACAGGCAGTAACTTAAACCAGGCAAACACTACACTAAATATTTCTACAAACTATATGTTCTGCAACCAGCAATTGAGACAAATTGCAAACGACCTATCGTATTCTCTAATTTTGTGATCTACAGCATCGGGTAATATAACTTACTGTTTATAATGCAGAAGCCTTATTTCAACGGGTCATGGATCGATGATATGCAAATTAGCAAGCAAGTGGAATAATCGATCATATGTCCCGTGACTTTTGCATGACCGTGACCAAAGAGGCTGACAATGAGTCAATCACTACTCCTATCGCTTCCGCGTGGACGGTCCTTCTTTCTCATTCGTACAACAGCACGTCTATTATTAGGTACGCCAAATAGACGTTTACGGCCAACGGGAAACGTCAAATCCTATTTTGAGATTAGCTATTCGAAGCTAGGACAATTTGTGCGCTAAAATCGAAGCATGAATTAGCCAGAACTTAATTTTAAAAGCGATATGAAATTTGCGGTTTGTGGTTTGCCATGAACATCAATCTTAACATCTCTAGTATTATATTATGTTTGTAAGCCAATATACTGTATATATCAAAAGCAGAGCTTTGCAAGCATGCATTAGCTTGGCTACGAGCCACACGCTTGATTCTAAGGGTTTAAATTTTACTTTCATGCGTTCGCCTGCAGTTGTATATATAAACGACTCATTCATCTTTACTGGTATTCATGCAAACAAGGGGGAAATTTGTATTAAAAATAAGGTATAAATCTATCTTCTATATATAACTCTATATATAACTTAAAAGTGTTTCATGTTACTCCATCAATAAGAGAAGATCCTTATGGACCTCTAGGAAGAACAGTTTAGAGCTGATAGAGCTATTCAGTATAAATAAAGTTAGTTTAGTTTAGGTTTCCTCCTGTAGTAACAATGGATCAATAAGAGATAGTCCTTACTGGACCTCTGGGAAGAACAGTTTAGAACTGATAGAGCTATCCAGTATAAATAAAGTTAGTTTAGTTTAGGTTTCCTTCTGTAGTAACACTGGATCAATAAGAGATGATCCTTACTGGACCTCTAGGAAGAACAGTTTAGAACTGGTAGAGCTATCCAGTTAATCATGTAAAGTTTCCTCATGTAGTAATGAGACAATAAATTGTGGCTCTTATATCTCGTCAGAAAATGGAACAGCTGTCCACTATAACATTTTTACTGAAGATATTGCCTTAACAGGTTCTTATTTGTCCGTTGCAGCGATTGATAAGAACAATTAACGATGGTCTGTTTGTGGAATAAGCTTGTGGGTGTTATCCTAATACTAACCAAAATGACATCTTTAATTCAATGCTTTTGTGACGAGAGAGTTCCCTATTTTCCAACGTATTATCCCGAGGTAAGAAACGGTTTTGTTGTTGATGTTCTTCATGATGGCTACAAGAATCATATATGGAGAAAAGGCAGCAAGCAACTAACTCTTGAAATTTGTAATAAATCCAATGAGCTCAACTGCACCAGAGCTCATCATATGTATTCGTCTCCGAAAAGAGCTGACTTGCATTTCAGGGAAATTACACTTGAGGATAGTGGTAAATATATCTTGGAATTGTTTTGCCATGGTGGGAAGAGAAGAGTAAATTCGTTTGAAATAATTGTTCAAGATAAACCTCTTGTCTTAATCGATTGCAATGATATGACGGTGAACGAAGGGGACAATCTGACATGTGTGTGTAAAACTACTCCTTCTTCCCCCGCTCCTACAGGGAGATGGCTTCGAGCTAAACAAGGGAATGAAGGAATGATTTCTGATATTTTAACACTGGAAAACATATCAAAATATGAAAGTGGTACATACACGTGTCTTTCCAACTCAAGTGGCACTAATTATGTAAACAAAACATCGTTCTACCTTACAGTTATCCCCAAAAATTCAAAAATTGAAATAAAATATTTTAAAGTTTTTCAAGAAGCCGGGGTTAATTCTAGGAAACTAGTTCTCCTTTGTAAAGCGGAAGGCATCCCGCAACTTAAATACACGATTTCGCACAATGGTACAGCAGTAAAATATGGAAACATGTACACTGTCGACACCAGAAAGATTTCCAGTCTGGGACAGTACGAATGTTTGGCAAAATATGGAGCAAGTTCCGACAAGCGTTTGTTGTTTCTGGACGCGAGTTTACCTCTCAAGCCGTGTTTGGAGAAAGAAAAACGGAATTCTGAAACGGAATGGAGAATACGATTAATTATTGGAGCTTCTTCATTCCTGACTGGAATTTTTGTGTTGTATGTTTTGATGTGTTGTTGTAAGAAATGTAAAAAGAAGGATGATTGTGAGAATTCCAAATATGACGACGTGTGTCCGCGAAAGCAAGAGACACTCTCGCCTGCAAGTGAAAACCACGAGATGAAATCACGTTATACATTGGGCAGACCTGTGGAAGTCGAGGAAGAGCGCCAGAGCGCGGAATATGACGAGCCTGAGGCAGGAAATAGCGACGATCGTGTTTATTACAACGAAAGCAATTATCACGAATTTAATGCATCTCGTCATTGGAAAGTGGAGAGATACCAATAGATCGATTCATGAACTTTTACCAGAAAGCAACAAACATTTCACTTTAAAAAACTATCTTTTGAATAACGCCCAGGCCATTGCCATTGCAGAAACAATGTTTCATATAGTCATGTTGACAACGCTGTAATGATAAATTGGTTAAAACAACCAAAAAATTGGTTGTCTCAAATTCATTTTTCGTATTTATCGGTTGTTTTCATAATCAATTTATTTTTTACAGTGAATGCATATACAATGTCTTTAGTAATTATTAGTTATTCCTATTTACTGATAAATTGTTGTAGTTAAATATACCGAATGAATCTGAATGTGTTTACTATTCTGATATTGGTTACCACATACGAATGCATGTTAGCACTATAATTGTTTTTCTAATGAAGTATATGTCTATAATCCAATCTAAGTGAAACTAAAAGATATACAGTTAAATGAATAATGTGTTTATTTCGTGCATGGCTATCTTCCTCGTGGACGCTTCCCTCTTTCTCATTCGTAGCGGCGCGTCTATTACTATGTTATGTTTGTAAGCCAATATATACCGCTGATTCAATTAAGCTTGTAAGGACAAATTGAAGTCAACATTGAAAGCAAAGTCAAAATTGAAAGCCACAAAACCTCACCTCTGGTTCCGATGACCACACGTTACTGCTTCCGATGTGCCCTACAGTAACGGTTGCTATAGGTCTCACAAGCTTTTTTTGCGTGGAAAAAGGATTTATAGCTAACTTAGAAATTCTCGTGATTTTGAGCTATTTCGAATTTTAATTGTTCGTCTAACCAATGCAATTCAATAGTAAACCTGTCAAAATTGACTTTATCGATCCATGTTTATGCAAATTTTTGGCATTGTCAAAAACAGTAGTCCAACGTTCAAACATCAATAGCGCAGTCAATATTGCATGTAAATTCAAGTGATAAAATATCAAAATCTAAGCTAGCCTTTCTGAATGCAATGTTCTTTATGTAATTGCGATAGCTTGTATAGCTTTTACGTTACATGAAATCAACCAATGTCGAGTGTTTTTCGGACGCTCTGAATATGTATAGGCTTTTTACTGCTGCAATTTAACCTTTAATTGCAAAATTAGTTTAAATTAATAAATTTAAATTCAAAATACTTCTTAACCAATATCATAATAACAAACACGCCCATTGGCATTAACAAACACGCCCATTATAAGGCCATGATCCATCATCAGGTCATCGGTGTACATAACATTGCCGGTGATGAATATGATATTGATCTGATTTGATGGAAACGAAAGACAAATAATATTGCCTAAAGCCTAACCCTAAAACACGAGCCAAAATCACACGTGTTTTTGTAAGGGTTTGATTTTTCTGTCAATGTACCTGCCGGTTGTATAAATATCAGTGTCAAAGATTCGTTTCACATCATACCAGTATTAGAGGTTTTCATACAAGCAAGAGAAAAATCGCAGTATCAAAAATAAGGTAAACGTATCTACTTAATAATAAGTTAGTTTAATTTTAATTAGGTTTCCTCCTGTAGTAACACTGGATCAATAAGAGATGATCCTTACTGGACCTCTAGGGAGAACAGTTTAGAACTGATAGAGTTATTCAATATAAATAAAGTCAGTTTTGTTTAGGTTTCCTCCTGTAGTAACACTGGATCAATAAGAGATGATCCTTATACTGGACCTCTAGGAAGAACAGCTTAGAACTGATAGAGATATTCAATATAAATAAAGTCAGTTTTAGTTTAGTAACACTGGATCAATAAGAGATGATCCTTACTGGACTTCTAGGTAGAACAGTTTAGAACTGATAGAGATATCCAATATAAATAAAGTCAGTTTAGTTTAGGTTTCCTCCTGTAGTAACACTGGATCAATAAGAGATGATCCTTACTGGACCTCTAGGAAGAACAGTTTAGAACTGATAGAGCTATCCAGTATAAACAAAGTTAGTTTAGGTTTCCTCCTGTAGTAACACTGGATCAACAAGAGCTGACCCTTGACATACCTCTTGATAAAGCTTTTAAAACTAATACAGCTGTTTAATATACAATTAGTTTACCTTATAGAATTCCATACTAAAGATATTGCCTTAATAGTGATCTTACATGTCCTTTACAGCGATAACAATTAAAGATGATCATCTGTTCGTGGAATGAGTTTGTTGGTGTTATCTTGATACTCTTCAAAATGACATCTTTAATTCAATGTTCTTGTAAATCATCAACAACACCTTATTTCTCAGTGCATTATGCCGAGTTAGGAAAACGTTTTGTTTTGGATGTTAAAGTTTATTACGTTTTGTATACGTGGCTAAAAGACGACAAACCATTAGCTATTGAAACCTGTAGTTATGGATCCCAGAGCACTAATCCCCGAATCTATTCATGCAGTGGCGATCCGGACTTAATTTTCAGGAAAACTAAACTTGAAGATAGTGGTAAATATATCCTAGAATTGTCATGCCCTGGTAGAAAAATCTATTCGTTTGAAATGATTGTTGAAGCTAAGCCTTTTGTCTTTATCGATTGCAACGATATGACGGTAAACGAAGGTGACAGTATTACTTGTATATGTAAAGCTACGAACGAAATGCCCTTTGCTACAGTGTCATGGCAATGGAATAAACTTGAAGAAGGGAATTTAGGAAGGAAAGATCTCAGTGATATTTTAATACTTCGAAATCTTTCAAGAAATCAAAGTGGAACATACACATGCCTCGCTAAAAGTCGCAATTTGGTAAACAAATCATATGCATCGTTCCACCTTAAAGTTATGCCTAAAACCTCTACAAATTCAACAGTTGAAATACAATATTTTAAAGTTTTTCAAGAATTTGGTGTTGGTTATAGCGAACTGTCTCTCTTCTGCAAAGCAGAAGGCTTCCCAAAACCTAATTACACGATTTCACACAATGGAACTGCAGTAAAATTTGGAAACACGTACACTGTAGACACAGGAAAGATTTCCAGTCTGGGACAGTACGAATGTTTGGCAAAAAATGGAGCGAGTTCTGACAAGCGTTTGTTATTTCTAAATGAGAGTTTATTTGTCAAGTCATGTTTGGATAAAGAAATACGAAAGGCTGAAACGGAATGGGAAGTGGTGTTTATCGTTGGAGCTTGTTCATTCCTGGCAGGAATTATAGTGTTGTACGTTTCGATGTGTTGTTGTAAGAAATTTAAAAAGGATGGTGTTGGTTATGAGAATGCGGCATATGTCGACGTCTCTGCACGAAATGCGCACGGAAGACTGGGGCCGGCAAGTGACAACGTGGAGATGAGATTACGTCATACATCGGACAGTCCTGGAAACGAGGAAGTACCTTATGATTTGCCTGTGGTTGAGAACACGAGAGACCATGATTACTATAATGACAACGGTTATCAGGAATTAAGTGAAGATCGTGAAAAGGATGAGGAGAGATATCAGTCTTTGAATCTAATAGATTCATGAACTTCTAGTGGTTGGACAAAACTGTAAACATTTAAATTTTACAATAAAATACTTCTGAATAAGACCCAGAATAAACTAAGGAGCATCGTTGCGGGAAATGTTTTTCCTAGCCATGTTTCCCAAAGGTGGACAAACCAGGAAACATTGTTTCTTAGCCATGTTTCCCAAAGGTGAACAAACCAGGAAACATTGTTTCCTAGCCATGTTTCCCAAAGGTGAACAAACCAGGAAACATTGTTTCCTAGCCATGTTCCCCAAAGGTGGACAAACCAGGAAACATTGTTTCCTAGCCATGTTCCCCAAAGGTGAACAAACCAGGAAACATTGTTTCCTAGCCATGTTTCCCAAAGGTGAACAAACCAGGAAACATTGTTTCCTAGCCATGTTTCCCAAGGTGGACAAACCAGGAAATACATGTACTGTTTCCTAGCCATGTTTCACGAAAGTGGCCAAGCCAGAAAACCTTATTCCATTATCCATAGTAATTATTAATAATTTTGTATCTACTGATCAATTACTTTCGCTAGTATAAGCTGAAATTGGCGGAAATGTTTTACAGATCAACCATTCCTTTGGACGAAAATCAGTTAAATTCAGTCTAAAATTTGCATAGGATATATAAACTGTAGAATAAAACAGAATTAATATATCGCTTAAAACAGTGTGATGAAAAACAATATTAAATCTTTCATAAAACTTTTAATTGATCGTTTCACCAACAATATTACATAGCAACGGCTTTATTTAAACGCTGGATTAAAAGCTGTCGGTGTTGCGTATTAAGATACCATATGCGGTACAAACAATTTCATCACGATACAAATGACTTTTATTCATGAAGATGTTGACGGAAATTTGCAAGCGGAGAGCATTGGCACTTAATGGTTAATCCGACTATCTGCCCATGTGTCTAGTTAACCCATTAAGTTGCATTACACCCTAACATGCCTTAGTTTATTATTTTACTCTGTCTAACACCCGACGATTTTACCTTTCAAGGGGATAGTGCTGTCACTCACTTGATTAATAAGTACAGAAAAAATGCAACTTTTTAAAAAAATTTCACATATATTTAAAAGCACATTACATTACATAAAATGATTTTCAGGCATTATCACTGAATTAAAAAAGAGTACATTGCACATAAGTTTTTTACATGAAACCCTTAAATGCTTGCTATGAATATGAAAGTTCATCCTTAGAAGACAGTGATGTTATATAAAGCTAAGCTACTGTATGTTGTATAGTTCATATTGAAACTACTTTTGCAGATAGCAGTCCAGTTAATTGCCAGGACAACGTTCTGTGCGAGAGACCAGATTTGCATTTGAACAACATTGCTTGCTGGATGTGTTATAATAATCAGGCCCACAACACGCAAATCCAGTTCGACGTGGATGGATGGTGCCACAACAGCACACCTGTGTTACAGAATTGAAGGCTTTACCACGGCACAGTTGCCCTGAAAAATAAAGTTGAGTTGACGTATTAGAGAGGTGTCTGTATTAGAGAGATGTCTGTATTAGAGAGGTGTCTTTATTAGAGAGGTGTCTGCATTAGAGAGATGTCTGTATTTAGAGAGGTGTCTGTATTAGAGAGGTGTCTGTATTAGAGAGATGTCTGTACTAGAGAGATGTCTGTATTAGAGAGGTGTCTTTATTAGAGAGGTGTCTGTATTAGAGAGATGTCTGTATTAGAGAGATGTCTGTATTAGAGAGATGTCTGTATTAGAGAGGTGTCTGTATTAGAGAGATGTCTGTATTAGAGAGATGTCTGTATTAGAGAGGTGTCTGTATTAGAGAGGTGTCTGTATTAGAGAGATGTCTGTATTAGAGAGATGTCTGTATTAGAGAGATGTCTGTATTAGAGAGATGTCTGTACTAGAGAGGTGTCTGTATTAGAGAGATGTCTGTATTAGAGAGATGTCTGTATTAGGGAGGTGTCTGTACTAGAGAGGTGTCTGTATTAGAGAGGTGTTTCCAACAAGAGGGTGATTCTGTTAATTATGATTCTATTGACCTCTAATTTAACTCACCTATAACAGTGATAGTAACTGGACATTTAACGCTGATGCCTCCCTTGAGGTTGTATGTATAGTTGATGACATGTTTCCCCGGTGAGAAGGCATGAGGTGAGCTCACGGATGGTTGTACTTTTGTACTTTCAACGACGACTTCGCCACCAGTTGCACAGTCGAACTCTGGGTTAGGCCACCTTGCCACCGCTTTTGATTGTCCAGGCCTGACGAAGATAGGGCTTGAAATAATTTCGCTTTTACAGATGCATTCACCTTGAAAACAAAATAACAAATTCTTATCCGGATTATTTTATTAAAATTCACCATGCTTTAAACAGACTTAACAAAACACCACCTTGATATTGGAGGGTATAAAATGTAGACTGCTCTTAAATAGTTATCGTTTTCCATTTGCGAACTTAACTAAATCCAAAATGAGCGTTAAAGCAAAGAAATTTTATTTATACTGGATAGCTCTATCAGTTCTAAACTGTTCTTCCTAGAGGTCCAGTAAGAATCATCTCTTATTGATCCAGTGTTACTACAGGAGGAAACCTAAACTAAACTAACTTTATTGATACTGGATAGCTCTATCAGTTCTAAACTGTTCTTCCTAGAGGTCCAGTAAGGATCATCTCTTATTGGTCCAGTGTTACTACAAGAGGAAACCTAAACTAAACTAACTTTATTGATACTGGATAGCTCTATCAGTTCTAAACTGTTCTTCCTAGAGCTCCAGTAAGGATCATTTCTTATTGATCCAGTGTTACTAACTTTATTTATACTGGGTGACTTATCCAAGAGGTGCAATAAGGATCATCTCTTATGTCCGAAGTCATACAACTTTCTAGAACAAGCGCTTGTACTAGCAAAATAAACAACTTATTGACTTACCGGGTTTTGTACACGACCTGGCCACCAGTGTATTCAAAATGGCCTTCATGTTGTCGAATTCTGCTTGAAGGAAGTAGTCAGGGCTCGTAGCCAGCTTTTTCAAGAGGTTTTTAAATTCTGTTTTCTTGCTGTTAGGACCAACTCCAGCAGTGACTAAAAGAACGCCCTTATCTTTAAGGTCCTTTGCGTATTGCTTTGTGAGTGCAATGGAGTTGCTTTTTCCTTGTGGTTTACCGTCCGTAATTAAAACGACTACATCAGCAATCTCTTGTCTGTGGTTCTTTGGACTGTCTTTACTGAATATCTGAGGAGAGAGATTGTTGCTATAGTGTTATATTTAGGAAGAGAGCTGACTTTGATAATATTATCTTTTAAAAGAATTCATGATTTCTGCAGGTTTCAATATAAATTACACTCACGATGAGTTCAATAGACAATTCTTCTGCATTATAGACTAATTTTAAAACCAGGCAAGGGGGTGAAAATTAATCACCACAGCTAGAAACAGCATACTAGAATTAGTAAAATTGCAAAGTTTGGTTGCGAAATGTTGTAAAATGCGGAAAATATAGCCTAGCAAAGTTCGACCACATTTTGGGCCAGAACTTTCTACCACATGGTAACACCAAATGGTAACAATTTCCGCACGCAATACAAAAGTATACAAAATTTGCGAACTTTGCAAGGCTATATTTTCCGCATTTTACAAAATTTCGCAACCAAACTTTGCAATTTTACTCATTTTCGTATGCTCTTTCTAGCTGTGATGATTTATTTGCATCTCCTTGTTTAGTTTTAAAATTAATCTATAATGGTATAATTGTCGATTATAAATCACTGCAAAGAATAGTTAACCAACTACAAGGCGACAAATAGCTAGTAGAGTTATTGTTCAGTGAATCTGCTTTTCGACCACATTAACATAATAAAAATTGATAGTATAAAAAGAATGGCAAGCACTATATTTTATCGTGAAAATGTAACGAAAAAGTGAGTAAAATATACGTTTGTCAGAAAAGAAACGCATTATTATTCCATTTTTAGCCAAATGTGTAACTATAGTTAAAGTTATTTCTTTTGCAAACGCAAATTGTTGCCACTATACAGTTATCAACAATTTGTGACTTCGTAACTTGTACTTAAATACAGCCCTGTTTACTGGTATGCAAAAAACTGTTTGGCTGAAGGAATATAATTGAACTATTATTTTCTTCGTCACTATATAGAAAATCGTTTGTTTCAGGGCTTGTTTCGATTTGCAAGCGTTTGAATATGTTGATATCGTACTGGGTATGAAAAGGATTCCTTTGTATTGAAAAATTGCATATTTAACTACTGATAAAGTCAGACAAACATTAGGAAAAACAATAGGGTATGCGGCGAAGACTACAGAAACCAATTTAATAATGGCTGCGACAACAACAACAGCAGCAATAATAACAACTACAACAACAGCAATGACAACAGCAGCAATAATAACAACGACAACAACACCAGCGACAACAACAACAACAGCAGCAACAACAACAACAACAACAACAACAACAACAACAACAACAACAACAACAAACAATTCGATCACAGCACCACCAGCAACAACAACAACAACAGCAACAACAGCAGCAGCAGCAACAACAGCAACAACAACAACAACAACAACAACAACAACAACAACAACAACAACAACAACAGCAACGACAACAACTACAACAACAGCAACAACAACAACAAGCTACAATAAACAATTCGATCAATATATTCTCACCTGTAGAGCTTTCTCTAATGCCAACTCGGTTCTAGTCCGGTCTCCTTTAACCGTATTCCAGTTTAAATTTGTCATATATTTCCCCAACTCTCTTGCGTCTTTCTTTTGTCCAATATTCAACTTCACCCCTGTCTTGTCTTTGCTGGCGAACAACATAAGTCCGATTTGTGTTCCGTCTGGGCCGACATTCAAGCTTGAAGCCGTGACGAGATTTTTTAAAAATGGTTTGACGTTAGCGTTAAAATCGTTTTCCCCAACACTGTAAGATGTGTCGACAATCAGCAGGAGATCTTTCTTACATTTGGCTATATGCAGAGAAAATATCTTGATTGTACGTGATCTCAGTTCGAAACTGTTCTTCCTAGAGTTCCAGTAAGGATCATCTCTTATTGATCCAATTGTTACTACAGGAGGAAACCTAAACTAAACTAACTTTATTTATACTCGATAGCTCTATCAATTCGAAACTGTTCTCCCTGTTGATCCAGTAAGGGTCATGTTTTATTGATCCAGTGTTACTACAGGAGGAAACTTAAACTAAACTAACTTTATTTATACTGGATAGCTCTATCAGTTCTAAACTGTTCTTCCTAGAGGTCCAGTAAGGATCATCTCTGAATGATCCAGTGTTATTACAGGAGGAAAGCTAAACTAAACTAACTCTATTTATACTGGATGGTTCTATCAGTTCTAAACTGTTCTCTCTCTCTAGAGGTACACTAGGACTATATATATGGTATTTTCCTTACAATCTCCGCCTTGATTGTTAGTTGATGGACGGCCAGTATCATATTGCCAATCATCAAAATCTATATTTAACGAAAACATAAACAATTTGATTTCGAGTTGATGTGTTGTAGAAAAACAGGGACTGTTCAATAATATTCTAGAATATATATGGAATAAATTCTAATGATTCTTTTCTTTCATTTAGGCTGTGGAATTTCATAATTATATGGAAGAAATGCTTGTACTTTCAAACTTATGTAAGTACTGAACTAAGCTAACTTAATTTATACTAGATAGCTCCCTATCAGTTCTAAACTGTTTTCCCTAAATGTCCAGATTATTGATCCAGTGTTACTACAGGAGGAAACCTAAACTAATTAAACTAACTTTATTTATACTGGATAGCTCTATCAGTTCTAAACTGTTCTCTGAGAACCCCTAGAGGTCCAGTAAGGATCATCTCTTATTGATCCAGTGTTACTACAGGAGGAAACCTAAACTAAACTAACTTTATTTATACTGGATAGCTCTATCAGTTCTAAATTGTTCTTCCTAGAGGTCCAGTAAGGATCATCTCTTATTGATCCAGTGTTACTGCAGGAGGAAACCTAAACTAAACTAACTTTATTTATACTGGATAACTCTATCAATTCTAAACTGTTCCTAGTAAGTGCCATTCGTATAGCCGGCCATCCCTTTATAATGCTCCAACCATATTTTAACTTAAATAAAAAATACACGTGATAGTGTTGGGAAAGCATTAAGAACAGCTAAGCAAGATCGTACGATTACCGACTCTCATATTGCGGAGGAAATGTAAAAAGCTCAAAATAATAGACGAAGATTTCTACCTTCCAACATTCCAAGCACGCCATAGACACAGAGAGTTAGGACAAAGCAGAAACGATACATCTTGAATCTTGTTCTTCAATGCAATCTTCACTTGAGCTATAGTTCCTCTTAACTTCAACTGATGAACAGCTCTGAAATGGTCCTCGTTTTATACTCTCTCCAATTTGAAAGCGATTCGTTAATTTTCCCATGGTTTTCGGTTATTTTCCGTTAGAACGAAATTCGTTAGGAATTCGGTTAATTTCCACTTAGATTTGAACGGTTGCAAATGTGAATGTACAAAGGCAATTTCCGTTGGCGTCGCGTCAATGTCACTAGGTACGCAAACAGATTAAGTATATCCACACTTAATCAATGGTACGCATCATTGAAGTTGACTTCGTGCAGAAGCCGTTTAAAATAACCGTTTGTATTCATATGAGAAACGAGCCAGCCGGGCTAAGCGAGCTTTGCGCTGGGATCTCACATCTCAGTCGTGGACATTTGAAGATTTTGACGACCTACAATATTGTATTTTTGAACGGCATAATTAGCAAATACATGAATTGACCCAAACAGACAATATTGAAGTTGTAATACAAGCTGCGCTGCAGTTTCTTAATTAAAACAAAAAATATTTCAAAAACGTCATGTTTACATAATGTCCTTGCCAAGACGGGATTTTAGGTGGGCCAAAAGGCCTAAAATGAACACAGAAAATCATCCAACTCCAGTCAGATCTTCCAGTCAGAGCGAGCTCGTATCATGAACAAGCCTATAGACAATTCAAATGTTGATATGTCCGCTATTTATTTAAAAGCACCAGACAATTTTTCCTGCAACTATCTTGGATAGTTATATTCGTTATGTACTCAGGAGAATATGATGCTTGTGATGTTACTCTGAGTGTATATCCACACCGGGCAATCTTGAAAAATATGCCTGGCCACGGTGGGAATCAAACCTACGACCTTTGGAATACTAGCCCAATGCTCTGCCGACTGAGCTACGCAGCCAGGTCGGTTCGAGTTTGTGATATTTCGGAACTGAGCCTAGTTCCTTCGATATCAATGCAATCTAGTAATCATGATTTTTTCTGTGTTGGTGTAATGTACTCAGGTGAATATGATGTTTGTGATGTTACTCTGAGTGTATACAACCCTATATTTTTCAAGCTTGCCCGGTGTGGATATACACTCAGAGTAACATCACAAACATTATATTGGGTATATCTCTCTGTTCTTATTAAATGTTCAGTAAAGGCTGTCTCTTATTGTGCCATTGTTTATATGTATAAATTGGCCAATTATCAACTTAAACTGTCGGCTGTGCCAATGTAGGCAGCGACCATAACAAAACGGTTTGAGAAAGGTACAGCTACTGAAAAATACAACCAGATCTTCGATGTTTCGAGCGAAGGCCCTTCGTAATGAAACGTCGACGTTCTCCTTTGTATTTTTCAGGTTTGAGATTTGATAAATAAAATTTGCATGGCCACATGCAGAACAGGAAAATAGTCAAACATAATGAATTTCGTGCACTTATCTACTCACTTCAGAATAAAATCGTTAATGTATTATGTAACCATGAGCGCAATTACGTCAAGACACCTGAGCGCGTGTATTGCAGGACACGGCCTCTTAGCTAACCAACCAAGCTCGACGGATGACCAACTGAAGTAACTGATTAGCTCCATCCGTTTACCGAAAGATTGAATTATTTTTCAATGCACAAGTCTGGCTCTCTTACGTTTTAGACTGAAACAAGTCCATCTAGATCAATATAAGAGATGATCCTTGGACCTCTAGGAAGAACAGTTTAGAACTGATAGAGATATCGAGTACAAATAAAGTTAGTTTAGTTTAGGTTTCCTCCTGTAGTAACACTGGATCAATAAGAGATGATCCTTACTGGACCTCTAGAGAGAACAGTTTAGAAATGATAGAGCTATCCAGTATAAATAAAGTTCGTTTAGTTAGTTTAGGTTTCCTCCTGTAGTAACACTGCATCACTAAGAGATGATCCTTACTGGACCTCTAGGAAGAACAGTGTAGAACTGATAGAGCTAACAAGTATAAATAAATTTTAAAGATAAAGATAAAGAGCAGAGCCCAGCAAATAACTTTAAAAACCAAACATAATAAAACTAAAAAAAATATTAGCCAACGTTTCGTTGTTTATAATACAGCATCTTCAGAGCAATCTAAATGAATTTACAGGGTATGGTATATATATTTACAAAATAATGGTTTAATATTACAAAAACTGTTACTTAGTTTGAAAGAACAAATGAATAGAAAGAAAGGAAAACAACTTATCAGTATGAATTAGTTAATTAGTAAAGATTATTGATAGAAAAGAGGCGTCAGACTATGTATACTGTTTATACATGCCCGAAATACACTCTAATAGATAAAGCCAAATCGATTAACTAAATAGGCAATTCCAGCTTTTAGTTTATGCGTGCAGGGGATGATGGGAAGTAAGGTATCATATTGCTGATTATGCTGAAAAATTTCAACAAAAACTACCGAAAGAACCGAAATATTTCAATATTTACAAGAATAAGCTATCACTCTGTGTTTAAACGGCCACCATTTCTATTTTTTCAGCATAATCAGCAATGTGATACCTTACTTCCCATCGTCCCCTGCACGCATAAACTAAAAGCTGGAATTGCCTATAGGGAACTGTTACTTCGTATTTGTGCGGCAAAGTTTGATTTTAATTGTCGTTAGCATTTCAAGTGCTTAATTAGTTATTCAAATTTGTGGTTACACAACACTTAATACCGTCAATGCTAATTCAAAATCTGTCAAAGCTTAGTCAGGTTTGTGGAATATTCTATAGCATACACTGTTTCCTCCTGTAGTAACACTGGATCAATAAAAGATGATCGTTACTGGACCTCTAGGAAGAACAGTTTAGAACTGATAGAGCCGTATAAATAAAGTTAGTTTAGTTTAGGTTTCCTCCTGTAGTAACACTGGATCAATAAGAGATGATCCTTACTGGACCTCTAAGAAGAACAGTTTAGAACTGATAGAGCTATCCAGTATAAATAAAGTTAGTTTAGTTTAGGTTTCTTCCTGTAGTAACACTGGTCAATAAGAGATGATCCTTACTAGACCTCTAGGAAGAACAGTTTAGAACTGATAGAGCTATCCAGTATAAATAAAATTCGTTTAGTTTAGGTTTCCTCCTATAGTAACACTGAATCAATAAGAGATGATCCTTACTGGACCTCTAGAGAGAACAGTTTAGAACTGATAGAGCTAACAAGTATAAATAAAGTTTAAAGATAAAGAGAAGAGCCCAGAATATAACTTTAAAACCTTCATAATAAAAGTAAATAAAATGTATTAGCTAGTAACGTTTCGTTGTTTACAGTGCAACATCTTCAGAACAATCTAAATGAATTTACAGGGTATGGTATATATATTTACAAGATAATGGTTTAATATTACAAAAACGGTTACTTAGTTTGAAAGAACAAATGAATAGAAAGAAAGGAAAACAACTTATCAGTAACTAGTTAATTAGTAAAGATTATTGACAGAAAAGAGGCGTCAAGCTTTGTACACTGTTTATACATGCTCAAAATACATTCTAATAGATAAAGCCAAATCGATAAACTAAATAGGGAACTGTTACTTCGTATTCGTGCGGCAAAATTTGACTTTAATTGTCCTTAGCATTTCAAGTGCTTAATTAGTTATTCCATATTCAAATTTGTCGTTACACAGCACTTAGCCTAATAGCGTCAATGCTAATTCAAAATCTGTCAAAGCGTGATTAGCCGGGCAGGTTTGTGGAATATTCTAGTATACACTGTTTCCTTCTGTAGTAACACTGGATCAATAAAAGATCACTCTTACTGGACCTCTAGGAAGAACAGTTTGGAACTGATAGAGCTATCCAGTATAAATAAAGTTAGTTTCGTTTAGGTTACCTCCTGTAGTATAACACTGGATCAATAAGAGATGATCCTTACTGGACCTCTAGGAAGAATAGTTTAGAACTGATAGAACTATCCAGTATAAATAAAGTTAGTTTAGTTTAGGTTTCCTCCTGTAGTAACACTGGATCAATATGAGATGATCCTTACTGGACCTCTGGGAAGAACAGTTTAGAACTGATAGAACTATCCAGTATAAATAAAGTTAGTCTAGTTTAGGTTTCCTCCTGTAGTAACACTGGATCAATAAGAGATGATCCTTACTGGACCTCTGGGAAGAACAGTTTAGGACTGATAGGGCTAGTATAAATAAAATTGTATGCAACATTTCAACCGCCAGCGTCTGTAGTAAAATTGTCTGCCCTGATTTAACAGATCGATGCTTGTACTTATTGCATCGGCTTAAAACTGACATAGTTAGAGCTCCATGCTAAAAGGCTTGTTCATCGATAGAAAAAGAGGCGTCAGGCAATCTATACAGTTTATGCATGCTAAAAATACATGCCAATAAATTAAGCCAAACCGATTGACTATGGGAAACTTTTCGTTCCTATTCGTGTTGCAAAGTGTGACTTTGTCTTTAATATTTCAAGTGCTTAATTAGTTACTGAAATTTGTCGTTACACAACACTTAATAACGTCAATACTAATTCAAAATCTGTCAAAGCGTGGTCAGGTTTGTGGAATATTCTGGCATAACTGTTTCCTCCTGTAGTAACACTGGATCAATAAGAGATGATCCTTACTGGACCTCTAGGAAGAACAGTTTAGAACTGATAGAGCTATCCAGTATAAATAAAGTTAGTTTAGTTTAGGTTTCCTCGTGTAGTAACACTGGATCAATAAGAGATGATCCTTACTGGACCTCTAGCTAGGAAGAACAGTTTAGAACTGATAGAGCTATCCAGTATAAATAAAGTTAGTTTAGTTTAGGTTTCCTTTTGTAGTAACACTGGATCAATAAGAGATGATTCTTTAGAGATGATGAGTTTAGAACTGATAGAGCTATCCAGTATAAATAAAGTTAGTTTAGTTTAGGTTTCCTCCTGTAGTAACACTGGATCAATAAGAGATGATCCTTACTGGACCTCTAGCTAGGAAGAACAGTTTAGAACTGGTAGAGCTATCCAGTATAAAAAAGTTAGTTTAGTTTAGGTTTCCTCCTGTAGTAACACTGGACCAATAAGAGATGATCCTCACTGGACCTCTAGGGAGAACAGTTTAGAACTGGTAGAGCTATTCAGTGTAAATAAATAAAGTCAGTTTAGGTTTTCTCCTGTAGTAACACTGGATCAATAAGAGATAATCCTTACTGGACCTCTAGGGAGAACAGTTTAGAACTGATAGAGCTATTCAGTATAATAACTGCTAGTTTAGTTTAGGTTTCCTCCTGTACTAGTAGCACTGGATTAATAAAAGATGATCCTTACCGGACCTCTAGTCTAGGGAAGAATAGTTTAGAACTGATAGAGATATACAACGGCACTTTGCAGAAATCAAATTCCGGTCTCAGTAATGAAAGAAATATACACGACACCAATACATTTTGGTAGACGTAATTTTCTATTTCAGTTAACTTTCATGCAGGGGTTCAAATTTTGCGTTAATGCTATGCTGCGCAAGTTCACAACGGACAAACTCGTATTCCGTAAAAGAAGCCGTTATTATTCATAACATCAGATCACCGGTGGACAACTTGTTGTCTCATTGACGTCAACTGACAGAAATAACAAATCGTTAAAACTCGTTTCACCGCAAAACAACATTTCATGCTCCTTTGACTCAAACGTTTGAAAAGTTTCTAGACTTGTAATTCGTATCGAATTTCGAGTTCTGTACACTGGCCAAAACTGAGCTTTCACTTACTGGGAATAAATGAAATATAGTGAAGCCGTCCATGTTATTATTATTATTATTAAAAATGTTCAGAGGTTTAGTAACAGTAGCTAGACAAATGTATACACTGATAGTCAAGTATTGTGCTAGCTGGTATAAGCTGCCGGTTTATGACCACTTCAAAAAAGATTTTAATTCCGCGTCTGATCGACCTTTCATGCGGGCGGGTGGTAACGGACTAGAGGTGTGCAAATCCGATCCGAATCCGATTGGATTCGTTCGGATTTCGGAACAAAAATATACATTTCGGATCGGATTGATAACGTTGTTTCGTAGTCGGATCGGACTTCGATATTCGAAATAAAATGAATTAATTATCCACGCATTATCGCAAGAATTAATTATCCATGCATTTATCAAAGCATTATCGCGGTTGTCGCTGCATTATTCGTTTGATACTTTAATTGGACGTCACTTTGTCAGCTTCTTGACATGTATTTATTGCTTTTATATTTATTTGGTTAAATATTTCAACTTGAATGAGAAATTTATTTTATGATCGGATCGGATTGGAATTCTTTATCAAAACTCGGATTCGGATTAGACAATTTCGGATCGGATTTTAAACATTAGGCAATTGTCGGGTTATAAACGTCCAATCCGATCCGATGCACACCTCAAGTACCGACTATTTTTCAACAATTATTTATATCGAGTGAGATTTGGTGACGCAAACTGATCCGTCATTCATCAACAGCGAGGTATATTAATGATAACACATCCATAGGTGAAACCCATTTATACTGTATTACATGAAGTATGTAGCGCGCGCGCTCAAATAGTTTGGCGGAGATTTTGAAAAATTTAAATTACTTTCTCGTTTTGTGAATAAAACAATAAATTTCCAATTATATTTCCATTGTTATTTAAAGATATACGTCATGGAACGTGCCGAAGATACCCAACTGCTGTATTTTGGAGAAATTCATGAAAAAATCAAGGTTTTTAACCTCGTAATTGACCCGTCATCCTGTGTTGATGACAAACACGTGGCTAGCGTCAAGTTGAAAGTTGATCAAAATGGACTGTCAGTGTTTAAAGCAGAGTCTATAATTGAGGTACCATTTAAAGGTTAGTTTAGCCTCAATAAAAAGTTCATTATTAAACTCTGGGCTTGGCTCAAAATCAATACAACTGTTAAATTGTAGAATGGTTTAAGATGGGAATTTCAAATGTGAATTTTATAAATTTATTAGACCTACAGACAGGAGTAGTTTGTGAAAAATGCAACGATAGACTCTCTGGCAGGAATTGAATCTGTGGCCCTGCGATTCCGGTACAGCGCTCTAACCAACTGAGCTACAGAGACCAGTTGTCAAGCTCTAAAGCAAGCTGCAGGTTCGATTACTGTCAGACAGCCTATAGTTGCCAGAAACCTTTGTAATTGCGCACAGAAGGTGATTAATAGTAGTGTCATTTGCGCACATTTGTACCACAGATGCGCACATTAATGTGGTCCCATTCTAGTATATTTCAAATGGAAACCCTCGATTTTCAGGTTTAAAACTGTCTGTACCAGTGTGGGTAGTACCAATGTGAAAATGCTGTGCTGAATGGTTATATTACTACCTTAAAAAACAAGCAGAAACTTGATGTTTCGAGCAAAGTCTTTTCGTCAAGAGTCTAATTCTTGACGAAGAGCCTTTGCTCAAAACATCGAGTTTCTACTTGTTTTTAAGGTAGTATACTATATAACCACTCAGCACAGGATTTTCAGGTCTGCATGCTTTTTTCAAAATTTTGCGCACTTTTTTAAAAAACTGCACATAGAATTTATTCGCGCACATCCCAAAGTTTCCATACTGATATAGTTGTGTTTGCATGCCTCGTTTTCATGTATGTATCATCAGTTAAAGCCCAATGTCTCAAACATGAAAATGAGGCTCAAATTAGCCAAGGTGATGTACTTTCCAGGAGCATGTATAATTTAAGATGGCTTTTTTAATAGTAGATGAAATTTTTTAACTAAATTTATATCCAAAAATGCAACTTTAGGGCATTTGGCAAGTGTTGCTCAGCATCTGTAGCTTGGTTGGTTAGAGCACATACTGCACCGGAATTGCATTTTTTCTGAACATTAGGTCTAAAATTGTGTATACATTTTCCTTCAAAAATTCTGTCTACTAAAAACCTGGGGCGGGTTGTTCAAAGGTGGGTTAGCGCTAACCCTGGGTTAAAATTAAACCTGCTGTTTTAGTTTGTGTATTTCTACACGTCTGTTTGTTTCAAAACTTCAGAGAAGTAAACTCCTATCGATCCAGACAAGATCTCTGAAGAACTATTTAAAAATTTATAGACAAGCTGTCAGGAAGTTTGCTTTGAATTTTACGTTAACCTAGGGTTAAGCTAACCCAGCTTTGAACAATCGGCCCCTGATGGGTAATTCCATGGTAATGATGACATTTTTTGAAGAAAAAAAGTTGTCAAGAATTTTCATAAGCTTTTGGAAACAATTCTGAACTGAAATATTACGATCTGCTTTATATGTAACATGAGTTACATGTATTATGTAGCAATCCTTACTATTGTAATCCAAAATATAAAATTTCTTTGTATTGGTACATAGTTTGCCTAACATATAGTCTGTTACTTGATAGACATTGTATGTTTCTCCTTCCTATGGTTCCCGAAGAAATTCAAAAGTAGTTGGGTTGGTGTTACCTGATCATGTCACTTTGTCGTAACATGAGTCACACACCAATTTACGGCCACCAATCTTATCATGTTATAATCAAATGTTTAATTTTTACTGTGAATCAGTAGCTTCCATCATTTGTACCTGCATGCAAAAATGTGACGAAGTTGCCACAGTCTGCTTATGGTTCTATGTGTCAGGCAAGAGATGCGGTACCCCAAAATCTTGAAATTTTTGAAATGAGTAGAGTTCAATTTTCCCCATGGGTGGGAGCAATGAATTATGACACATTTGCATGATAAAGAAATTTAATTATATTGCCCGGAATTTTTCTCTCATCAAAACAATGATTTCCCACAGCACGAGACAATGACTGTAGTTGCTGCAGCCGCTCTGTTATATGCTACAGAGCGTCATTGCTGCTGTGGAGATTTAAAGAAATGTACTAACATAGTAATTTTTACTTGAGATGCACTATAACCCGCAAATATTAAAATGTAAATACAACTTTAAATATGTATATACAACATTTGAACTTGGTATAATATTTCCCTTTTCTATATATAGCATTTACCATCAAACCATTATCAGCACAGACAGTGAAAATTGTGTGAATGACGATGAAAATTCATCTCAGGCGAAGTTACATCCCATCCAAGAATCTGAAAATTGTACACAGAATGATTTGGTTCCAGTTCTGATGAAGTTTGAAGATACAATGTAAAACATGCAAATGCAGAAGTGCAACACATCATAACAGGTATGTAGGACAAGTCATGGGCAGATTTACTGGGGGGGGGGGGGGTTAAACCCCTCCTAGAATCTCTCTAACCCCTCTCTAACCCCTGCTTCACCCCTCCTATTTTGTGTGAAGTCTTTACCTTTAACCTTAACACCTAACCCCTGTCGAAGCTCGCTCAGTGGTGCCGCTTGCCCCCCTCCCGAAATTTTTCTACCCCTCCTTTAAAAAAAATGAAAATCCGCTCTTGGGTCAAGTGAAAAATATACACGTAGGCTACCCCAAGTAAAATTGCTTGGCATTTGGCAGAGTAAAATAATTAGTAGAGTCAGGGCTTCAAATTCACAGTATCCCGATATCCCGGCCATACCAGATTTTAAATTTGGATACTGGAAATCACAAGTTCAGTATCCCAAGGGTTACTGAAAAAAATTCTGTCCACGAGTGATATTTCTCGACAAAATACTGTTGCTAGCATGCAGAGAAGACGTGCTTCGAAATTCAAAATAAGAAGCACTTACAGTACAGTATCTTGATGCATATAATTATCTTCAGCCCAGCCAATCTGTACCTGGCTATCAACACATACATTTCACGCCACGCTGTAAATGGAGATAGCTTGTCTTCACACACTTGAAATATGTTTGCAAAATGTTAAGATACATTATATGAACTGAGCGAACAAAGAAATCTACTGAGACACAGAAAATATTAATTGATGAACAAGTGGAAGAAAGCTAGACCACATATTGAAATAAATGATCAATCAATCGTTTTGCAAATGTGGGATACTAGATTTTCTGGGTGGATACCAGATTTTAAGTTGCTAGTATCCTGTTGGATACTGCTGAAAAATTGAAATTTGAAGCCCTGGTAAAGTGCATTAAGGCACAATGGTTTCGAGTGCAATTTGGATATGTAATATGCACAAGTGAGTTTTTCAAAGACCTCACAATACATTATGACTACATTCAAAATTTTTATTCTTCTATACACTTCTCAATCGGCAAACAAGCTCTGAGCAAGTACCTTTCACCTTTAAGATGGTGGATTTGATTGTTGCTATGGACTCATAGAGTCTGCGAATGCTCTGCTGATACTCGAGAAAGTTGACAGGGTGGGTTAGGATAAACATTAAGTTAGGAAAGTAATATCACAATTGTTGTAAAGATAAATAGTCTAAGCTAAGTATGTAATACAAGTAAGGCAGTAAGCATAATACTAGATGTGATCGGTCACTGAAAAGCCCAGATGGGGAGTGAGCTGAATGATGCATCAGGGTGTTAGCTAGCCCATACACTGTCCGTTTGACGGACTCTTCCCAATTGAAGTAGCTAAGGGGCTTTCCCAACTGAGTCTACTGGAAGATTTTCATTTTTTCTGATGAGAAAGTGCATTAATTGCGTTTGATTTTATATTATTATATCAAAGAATGTTTTATTTACTTTTTCCCATTAACTATTTTCTCAAAATGTATCGCGTTTCATTCATATTGCATGGGTGTGTATTCACTGAAATGAAATGTACAAAACAGAGTGTAATCGGTTTTGCATCACCAGAAATGGAATATACAAAACGAAGTGCCATCGGGTGCATTTTTCAGTGTTCATTCACCGGAAATGAAATGTACAAAACCAAGTTACCGTTGTTTGCATCTAAGGAGAAACACATTGGGAAAAAAAACACTATTTATTCCTACACAAGGACTTTGATCGGTCAAAAAACTTTCACAATTTACGTTTAACGGACAAAACTTTTTTTTCTGGCCAACACCCTGTGCATAATATATAATATTTGATTCTGATTATTTTCATCATCTTTCTATACTTTTTATTATTGTTATTGTATTTTTATTCCTTTTTTTTGACAGAGAATTTTCCAGAATGTTGGAACTACCATCAGAAAATTGGCAGGAATATTTGGACAACTGGTGTTGCCATGGTAACGAAGCTATCACGAAGTTGAAAGATGGTTTAGATCCCCGAGAGCATGATTGTTTCTTTGGAGACTGGTATATACTGATTCATCCTCAAGCAGTTAATACTCAGCATGTTCACGTTGCGAAGGTATTGATGCAGTAGCCACAAGACAAGTCATGTCAATTTTTAGTTCATTGTCTATTGACAAAAATCCTGACAGTGTCGAAGCCAACAATTAAAAACCAAAACAAACTTTATCCTGTATTGATCCAGTGTTACTACAGGAGGAAACCTAAACTAAACTAACTTTATTTATGCTGGATAGCTCTATCAGTCCTAAGCTGTTCTTCCTCTAGAGAGGTCCAGTAAGGATCATCTCTTATTGATCCAGTGTTACTACAGGAGGAAACCTATTAAACTAAACTAACTTTATTTATACTGGATAGCTCTATCAGTTCTAAACTGTTCTTCCTAGAGGTCCAGTAAGGATCATCTCTTATTGATCCAGTGTTACTACAGGAGGAAACCTAAACTAAACTAACTTTATTTATACTGGATAGCTCTATCAGTTCTAAGCTGTTCTTCCTAGAGGTCCAGCAAGAATCATCTCTTATTGATCCATTGTTACTACAAGAGGAAACCTAAACTAAACTAACTCTTCTCATTCTGGATAATTCTATCAGTTCTAAACTCTGCATAGTTAATTATTTGCATAATTTGGTTTCTAATTATCAATTAATCTGTACTGTACAATTCTTCTTCAGGAAAACGAAAGCAGTCAACTTTTGTGTGGACGTTGTCAGGCCACACTTGGCAAGTTAAATTTTTCAGGTACTGCATGTGCTATATTGTGTTGCTGTATGTTTAATTAAAATGCTAGAAGCGGTAAAAGCATCGGAAAGAATTGTTTTTGGATATGATGAGAAAGAAAGAAAGAATGACAAAATGAATGAAATAGACACAAAGGAATAAAAAAGGAAACAATGCAAATAGTTGAACTGAGGGAGAGAGAAATGAATGAATGAAATTTACAGTGCAGATGGCTTGGAGGACATTGGTTCTCAGATTTAATCACGTGATTTCAGCAACGTTGCATAATCATCTCGATAGCCTATGCCGTTTATGCTTCGTTTTCTGTTTTTACTTGATTTGACTTATTTTGCCGGATTATTGGCAGAAAAAATTGTTCTCTCAATAATTTCAGAAAGGATTTTTTCCAAGCCTGACTAAAAATGAAAAGCCTACCAATTAACAGAAATGACGTGAATTATACTGTTGTTTTTCGTAGGTGATGGTGCGTTAAGAAATCAACCATGTCAAGATATCAATGACTGTGTTAGTGTTCAATTATACAAACACTCAATATCACTCTACCGTGTTCTTGATTCTGCATCAAAAGATATATTTAAGTAAGTACCTATTCCCGTGCCAGATAAATTTTATTGTTGGATTGTGTACTGTATATTGTTGTTTAAAATCAACATCGTTTACATTCGTTACAGGAATTATGGAGAAGAATTTTACTTGGCAAGAAATTTTGTAACTTTGACCAAAACTCGCATGTGTCATAAGTTTATTGTGAACACAACATCGTTGACGACAAAAAGAAAAGATTCCTCGATTGTTTTGGTAAGATAATTTTCATTATATTGTACAAAATCTCTGCTTGATCAACTTTAATTTCAAAACCATTGTGAAAAGCTAGTTTGATACAGTATAGCAGGGCGCGAAGTAACGGCCGGTCAACGGACAATTTTCGACCAGAATGCGGAGTTGTCTGGTCAAATTCTTACCTTGCCGGTCATTTTGACCGGTGCACTTTCGGCAAAAGAACAAGCTAACCAAGTTCTTGAAAACGATTTGAAAAGGGAGTTTTGACATTTTAAAAGGGAGTTCTGGCATTTGAAAATGGAGTTGAAAATGCGGATAGCAGTGGTCTATAAATCCAAGCGATTTTTCTCTTAAAGCCGTTGTGCATGTCATTTGCGCAATATTTTGTTAAAGTAGATCTTTTCAATTTGTTTAGATTTGGATTCTAAACTCCGACACAAAATTTGTCTCATCATTTTATAATGCAAAATATGGAGACGAAAGCAAAGGTAAAACGAGAATTTATACACAAATTTTCTGTGTTGGTGTTATGTTGCTTGAAAAATATGCCTGACCACGGTCGGAATCGAACATACGACCTTTGGAATACTAGCCCAGAGTAGCATCACAAACATCATATATTCACCTGAGTACATAACACCAACACAGAAAATTCATGATTATTAGATTGCATTGATATCGAAGGAACTACAGTAGGCTCAGTTCCGAAATACTTGTATCACATACTCGAACCGTCCTGACCACGTAGCTCAGTTGGCAGAGCATTGGGTTAGGTATTCCAAAGGTCGTAGGTTCGATTCCCACCGTGGTCGGGCATATTTTTCAAGCTTGCCGGAGTGGATATACACTCAGAGTAACATCACAAACATCAAGTATTACACACATTTTTATCTGTTTTGCATTTCGCTTACTGCATCATGTACGTATTCCCTTTGTTTAGACTCGACGAATCTATTCAGTGCTGTAAAAGTGCTATATAAATCTTACTTGGATCATGAATTCAAAAGGTACTGCATGTGAAACCGTTCTTGTAATTTGTTCTTCTTATTTATTTTGGGTGGTTCCACAGTATCAGTTCTCACTGATCCAGTGTTACTACAGGAGGAAACCTGAACTAACTTTATTTATACTAGATAGCTCTATCAGTTTTAAACTGTTCTCCCTAGAGGTCCAGTAAGGATCATCTCTTATTGATCCAGTGTTACCACAGGAGGAAACCTGAACTAAACTAACTTTATTTATACTGGATAGCTCTATCAGTTCTAAACTGTTCTCCCTAGAGGTCCGGTAAGGATCATCTCTTATTGGTCCAGTGTTACTACAGGAGGAAACCTAAACTAAACTAACTTTATTTATACTGGATAGCTCTATCAGTTCTAAACTGTTCTCCCCTGAGGTCCAGTAAGGATCATCTCTTATTGGTCCAGTGTTACTACAGGAGGAAACCTAAACTAAACTAACTTTATTTATACTGGATAGCTCTATCAGTTCTAAACTGTTCTCCCCTGAGGTCCAGTAAGCATCATCTCTTATTGATCCCGTGTTACTACAGGAGGAAACCTAAACTAACTTTATTTATACTGGATAGCTCTATCAGTTCTAAACTGTTCTCCCTAGAGGTTCAGTAAGAATAATCTCTTATTCCAGCTATGATTTTCAAATTTTTCGATCTAGTTTGAAAGATGAGTGGTATGGCAATGCCCAAACAGACATCGTTTCATTCCCAGAAGAAATCTGTCTCAAACTTCTGTTATTACTTAATGAGAACAACAAGATACAACCACCGTCATTAAGAACTGCAAATGGCTTCAATGTAAGTTTGAATTTTGAACTGAGATACAGTAACTACACAGGGTGTGTCAAGAAACGGTTATCCAACGTTGATTAGAAACGAATATTCAGACAACACGATACATTACGGACGCGTATGTTGTAAATGGCTTGTGAAACGTCTTGATGAGAACATTCGTATTCTTGAACAATTTAAAATAAATGAATGATATTTGGTGAGAAAATTGAACTTAAAGTTTATGCAAATCCGCATGATTCTGCATCAGATGTACAAACTTCTTCACCCTCATTCTTTCTTTTGTGTTTTCTTCATTAATTAATAATGAGTTTTACAAATAAATATATCAAACAATTCTACTTTAATTTTTTGTTTTGGAGTACATCTACGGAGTCAGCATTGTATATGTCATTGAAGTTTCATTACAACCTGTGAGACACTAATAAGCGTGCTATAGTTCCATTTGTGATATTGTGTTTGGATTTAGCGGTATTAGGTAGAAATACCTGAACTTAACTTAAAGGGTGTTAGCCAGAAAAAAAACCGTTTTGTCCGTTAAACGTAAATTGGGAAAGTTTTTTTTTGACCGATCAAAGTCCTTGTGTAGGAATAAATAGTGTTTTTTTCCAACGTGTTTCTCCTTAGATGCAAACAACGGTAGCTTGGTTTTGTATATTTCATTTCCGGTGAATGAACGCTGAAAAATGCACCCGATGGCACTTTGTTTTGTATATTTCATTTCCGGTGAATGAACACGGATGCACACCGATTACACTTTGTTTTGTACATTTCATTTCAGTGAATACTCACCCAATATGAATGAAACGCGATACATTTTGAGAAAATAATTAATGGGAAAAGTGAATAAAACGTTTTTTGATATAATAATATAAAATCAAACGCAATGCACTTTCTCATCAGAAAAAATGAAAATCGTCTAGTAGACCCAGTAGGGAAAGCCCCTTAGCTACTTTAATTGGGAAGAGTCCGTATGGGCTAGCTAACACCCTGATTACTATTAGTTACCCAGTTTGTGGAAACACCATGTAAATTTATTACTGCAAAACTTTCGATCCGTAAGCCCGAATCTTCATCAGTGCTAATAATATGCATATTATTAGCACTGATGAAGATCCGGGCTTACGGATCGAAAGCTTTGCAGTAATAAATTTACGTGGTGTTTCCACAAACAAAACCATCATGTTGGTTTAAATTGATAGTCGTTTTATATTTAGGTGAGTTTTTTAAAACTGTGAAAATCTTGGTGTTTCTCCATGCAGCTGAGCTACTGACGCTTGAGGATAGAGATGACCCTTGAGGATATTGATGCTTGAGGATAGAGATGACCCTTGAGGATATTGATGCTTGAGGATAGAGATGCTTTCACACTGTCTGGGAAAAGAAGAAGAAAGAAGACGTCGTCAGGTTAGAGTAGCCTGGTGGTCGCTAGGATCTTATAGAGAAACGATTGACACGATCCATCGTATGAACAGCCCCCAAGTGCTACTGCATTAGAAAATTTGTATTTTCTAATGAGGACTTTGAAGAAATTAGTACACTTTTGGCCACCAGGAAATATTCTTAGATCATTAATATGTGTCTTATCCCATGGTGTACAAACTGTACCCATAATGCTCGCAAGTGTACATGCGTGTACCTATAGTACATGTTGATGGCATGGTTTATCCATTGCTTCATCAATTTGTTCACATATAATATGAAAAGGGGACAGTTATTAACTGGCGCAGCCTCGTGGACTACACACGAGATTGCACGCGATATTGCACGCGAGACTACACGCAGTCACGAAAAATGGCGGCTGGGAGCCTATAGGAATATATGTTGTCATTTTAAGAATGAAATAGACAATAATGAGAGTTTTGAACAATATAAACATCGCCCTTGAAAAGCCAGCTTAATGAGCTTATCAAATTATAATAAGTGATAACTTTCATTCTTAATTAAAAATGAAATAAAATTTCAGTAAAATTTGACATGATAGTTGTCTCTTGAATTAACACTTTGCCAAATCCTCCTAGGAGCACAGGAGCTCTAAAACTAGAATTGAAACATCGTTATGAAGCGTTTTCTCTTTCGTGGCTTCTTGAATGACGACTGGTGAGGCATATTCTTGGCTTCATTATTCTTGTTTTGAGCAATGAGTTGGTGCTTGGAAGAGAATGGATGCTCTTGTCGTTTCTTTCTCGCCCTGTTTCTTCAAGGCATCTTCATTCCATTCGGGTTAGCAAGAGTGGAATAAATGTGAGCACATGGTAATGTGAAAATCGTTCGACGAGCATATAGTGCGGGAATTTCCATGTGGGAAAGATTCCACGATCTTTAAATGTGACAGCTCCAAAACTCTGGGAGAATTCCTTCCATGCTACTGTACGAACGGTTTCGACACTCAGGGTTGTATAAAACACAGAGCTTTCATAATATTTTTAGTAGGCGGCTGAGAAAGTTGGGGGTTGTCCTCAATCAAGGAATATCGTTTACCAAGTCTAAGGAAATAATTTATGACAGTATTAGAATTATTGTCATTTTTTGTACCGTTTTTTCTTGGTGAATTAGCTGAGCAAGCTAACTTTATAGTTGCAGTGTACTTTAAGTTCTTAAGAGATATCTGTTCTTAAGAAGACAGATTAGAATAAGCAGAAACATTTTCAATAAACATCTCCCCTTTATGCCATGTTGTATATAGCCAGTCTAGTTCTTAGTTTTTAGACATTAGTTAAACTTACAAATCTGATTTTATTAGTCTATTCTTGCTTTGCCTTTGCTTGAAAGCAAGATATAGTTTAGCAAGTAACCGCGGCATTTTGAAAACCCTGAGACAAATCTTTTTGATAAACTACCTTTTAATACTTATTAGTAATTAACTTTTAAATATACTTATGTACTACAGCGCATTATATAGATATTAAACTAGATAGGAAACTACTATAATTATTAAATGTGTTTAATCTGTATTACTGTGATTATAAGCAGTATATAATTGAATGCTATAGTGTATATTTATAAAAGCAAAACTACTATTATTTTGAATTATTTTATTATAGGCTACATGTTATATTAATAGATAGATAGTTTTATTAAGCTCATAAATCGGCAGTCTCGTGCAAGCCAACTGAATTATATGCGAAATGTATGACAATTTTAACTTATAAAATAAGAATTATACTAAGTATTAATCAGTAAAATATTTTTACTCACTGTATATCTTGTACGATTGTGTTAAAAAGATCTTTCGTAAGAATTTCTCTTCTGTTATGTAAGGAATCGAGGTCTGCCCCTTGCAGCCATGGCCAGATACAGCGAATAGCGATTAGCAGAACTTCTACTGTTAGCGCATGTCGATTTCTTGAAAACGATTTAATTGATTTGTGAGCTCACGAGAAAATAATCAGAATGCTTTAGTTTAATACTGTAGTTAAATATGTAAACATGTCGAGGTTGTTATCGAGCCATATTTTCAAACATACTGTTACTTTAACAAGCAAATTTACTGTACTGTGCTACAGCAACTGTCCAGTCACGCATACGTGATAAAAAGCTGATATAAACTTTATAAACAAAAGATAATGTAAAACGTAACAGAACGGCGAACATGCAAATTCGACCATCTCAAATAATGGTAATGTTGGGATAGTAGCGTTGCAGACTGCAGAGGAGAGTGGGCAGTAAGGCTCCCTCATGCACCACCCCATGGTGCACCTGCACCCCTCCTTGCAGATGAGCCTAGATCCACGTGGCTCTGCTTGCAGTGCATGCTGGTAAGACAACTGAGGATAAATAAGACGAGATCATCTAATAAGAATGTAAGCAGAGAATTTGGAAGACTGGCCAAATATATTCTGTCAGAGGATGGTAGTTGTTCTCAAAGACCTACACGTTCCGATTGTGTATGCATATAGTTCAACTGCAATTTCCTCCGAGTGCAGAACGTATCATTTCGATGCGCAGTAGAAGCTACCCGTCGCAATGGATGTAGCCTGCGAACAGGCGTTTATTCAGGTGGGCCTACAACGGATGCAATACTCTAACTTGTGCGGTTAAGCGAAAAGAAATTATTCAAATGTGTCATTTGTAACGATAGCGCGCACTCAAGCGTAATTGCGTTGTTACTAAATTTTTTCCTTGCCGCACGAGCGTCTGTTGAACAATAAAGGATTTTTCCAATATGGACTTCTGGCCGAACGGTAGGTATGCCTTTTATATTTACGTCTGTAGTAAAACGGCCTACCAATTAATAAAAGTTTGCCAGGCAAGTACTGCAGTTTAGAACGAAAAGAATGGTTTCTGTTTAGTTTAGGTTTCTTCCTGTAGGAACACTTGATCAACAAGAAATGATCCTTACTGGACCTCTAGGAAGAACAGTTTAGAACTGATAGAGCTATCCAGTATAAATACATGTAAAGTTAGTTTAGTTTAGGTTTCCTCCTGTGGTAACACTGGATCGATTGGAAATTCTTACTGGATAAAACCTAAACTAAACTAAACTAACTTTATTTATACTGGATAGCTCTATCAGTTCTAAACTGTTCTCCCCTGAGGTCCAGTAAGGATCATCTCTTATTGGTCCAGTGTTACTACAGGAGGAAACCTAAACTAAACTAACTTTATTTATACTGGATAGCTCTATCAGTTCTAAACTGTTCTCCTTTGATGTCCAGTAAGGATCATCTTTGATTGATCCAGTGTTACTATAGGAGGAAAGCTAAACTAAACTAACTTTATACTTTATACTGGATAGCTCTATCAGTTCTAATCTGTTCCTAGAGGTTCAGTAAGGATCACCTCTTATTGATCCAATGTTACTACTTTATTCCTGATGATGACTGAATCTTAGTCGAAAGCTAGAACGATTAAAACGTTTATTTTCGGAGTTACCGTTGTTTTATATTTTGTTACTACAGAGGTCTCAATTTGATCAACAACTTTTTCATTTAGGTTCGTGACTGTCGGCCATGGTGCGTCACAAGGGGATCGTGAAATTCGGTTATGCTCGCCAATTTATGGCTGGATGTGAAAATTATTTCATTGCCCCTACAGCGTGGTATTATGTCAGGTCCCTCGGCCAGAACGAGGTATTACAATACAACTGATATAATTTTTAGCGTGCTTTTGGGCGTTCAATATTTATACGTAGTGCACAGTGCACTTTTGAATGACATCATTTATTTAAACCAGAGTAGCGTGCGAAACATGTATAACATTTATATTCTTTATTCTTTGTCGTATTGAGCCAAAACCGTAAACTATCCATAATACAGTAACATGTTTTCAAAACAAACCAGTTAACGTTAAATTAACTCAACTACTTCACTGTAAACGGCTTAACGAAAGTTTAAAATCAACCAAGATGGCGCCTAATGACTCGTAGTGACGTCATGTGCAAGCAAGGATAAGGATTTTGTACTAACAGTACAATCCAATTTTCTTTTTAAGCTGTTCCTTGCTTTAATGCTATCTTCCTTCAACGTTTCTGCTGTAGTCGGTGGTCCTTTGTTTGGTCGTATTGTAGACTGGATTGGACATCCACGCCTTGTTTTTCTTTTCACTTGTTGGTTGAAAGTCGTCTCATACATACTCTACAGCATTAACATCTCAGCAGTTTTCCCTCTGGTTGGCAGACTGGTCAGTGGACTGGGTTCTGGGGGCGGTGTTGCAATTATTCTTGGTCAGGTAGCCATACAAACCGACGTTGAAGAGCGTGGAACAATATTTGTATTGCTCGAAGCTGTATATTGTGTAGGAGCTACTGTTGGTCCCGGCGTTGGAAGCTTTATTGCATTTGATGTTACAATTTGGGGATGGCATATCAACCAAGGCAACTCACCGGGGATTATATTAACCATAGTGTGGAGTATTTTCTTGATTGTGACAATATTATTACCTAAGGACATTTGGATTGAAATTGTAACTGTTCAGAAAGAAATCGTGAGCGAAGATGTAGGAAGAATCGCCGTTGATCGAACTTTTACCGAAGATGATCCTAAAGGTGATCGAAGATTGACCGACGTCCACCCGAAAGGCGACCGAAGTTTGGCCGAGTACGATCTGAATGTCGATCGTCACCTAACCAAAGATGATGCGATCGCCGATCCCGAAGATGACCGAATCAAACCGAGTGGTCACCGAACTGTTGCCGATCATGATGACGAAAGCAAGACGAAGATTGAATGGAACTCGCGCATTTTCTGTCTGCTTTACCTGACATTTGCAAGCGAATTTTTCTCGAGTACTGCGACATTCTATGTCCCCGTTTTGGCATTGAACCATTTTCATCTTGAACTAATCTACGTTAAACTACTCTTCCTGAACTGCACTCTATTTACTTTGCTTGTTTTCATTCTACTCTCGCTCGTCTCGGACTATTTTGATGAACGTAAATTATTCCTGGTTGCTTTGTCGATGCAAATTGCCGCCATCTCAGTGCTAACATCGATTGGATTCACCTGGGATCGCATCACAAGTACTCAAAACTACATATTATTGCTGTACATATGTCTTGGCATGCCTTACTTCGCTTTTCCGTTCAGTAATTCCATTCTATCGAAGATCACTGACGCGCGCAACGCGTCGTTCTATCAAGGCATGTCCTACGCAGCATTGCAATCGGGGATCCTGATCAGCCGTGTCGCTGTCAGTTTCGTGAACACAAAAGAAAGTTTGATCATTTATTGTTTTGTCTTAATGTTTCTCTGGTCGCTTGGGTTGATATGGTTTGCTGTACATTACAAGCAATTTGTTGCGAGCGAAGAAAAACATCAATAGATTCTTAGGAAATTGACTGTGATTTTAGCTTTAAAGTCATTCTTCATGAAATGTTTGAATGTTTCTGATTTACAGTTATATTTTTATTTAAAAAAAACTTCTATCAATCGAATCAGGGCTGCCGTACATAGGGTGCTTTCAGAGGCTGTTACTCATTGCGAAGATTGATTTTTTAAAGCTCTGAGGCTGGAAAAGCAAAATATGTTTTCTATTTATCAGTAAGAAAATCATGTAAACCTTCTGATAAAGGTACGTATAAGTTAGGTGCATGTGATCATACGCAATGCCAGTATGTTATAAATCAATTTGATCATCTGATTATCAGTTTCCATTTGTAATGCAAAATGATTGAAAAACGGCAAACTTCGCAAGGCTATATTATCCGCATTTTACAACATTTCGCAACGAAACTTAGGAATATTACTAATTTTGTGATGCTCTTTCAAGCTGGGATGAAATTTTTGTGCAGGCATATCTAGATCAAAATTTCACTCATAAGGGGAAAGGTCTATTAATTCATTTTTCCTGCTGAAAATCCAAAACCCTCCCCGGTTAGACCGAAGGAGTGATTACGCTAAATAAACATTGTCGAAGATCAAAGAACACCGACATGGTCATGATTTAATAAACATTTACATACCATACTTCCTACAGTCTATGTTACTATATAAAAGTTTCACTATTATTGACCTTGTTCCCTATGTGAAATTTAATGCTTTGCCGTTGGTAGTAAATGTTTCAGACATGTTTTATTAAAATACAGAAGTCGTTCTTGTCAAACAAATGCAATTATCGCAATAAGTATAAAACGTTCACACAGCAGATAATTATGCAGTTCTTGAACAAAAATTCTTTAATCCTTCATAAGAAGTCTAACTTTGCTTGTTCATAACAATTCAGTATAAGGTTTAGGGGCTGATTACATGGAGAGTTTTGTGTGTGGTATTTTCGCTAGAGCAACCAATAGCTATGTTTTCATTTAACTATTGTGTAATGTCACGACTGAGTAATCAAACCAACACATTGCTATTAGTTACCGACCAGTTTTTGCATAGACCAAGGCCCCGATTACACTATACCGGATTGCATCGAAGCGACGCGATTTCTGTACCGGATTGGCCTCTTGTTTACACTACGCCACTGTAATCCCGTACATGCCGCGGCGCGAAAATCACTTCGCTTTGGAGGTGATATGAAAAGTAATCCGGTGCTGTACCGGATAATACCGTGTGTCCCTATATGTCGTGTGTCGTGTGTCGTGGGTTAAAAGTCGTGTGTCGTGGGTAAAGTCGTGGGTAAAGTCGTGGGTCATAAAATGTGCTAAAAACGCATTTTTTCACGAAGATATTATTTTTATTTTTAATATTTTTTTCGTACTTCATCTCTCCAGTAATAAAATAATTTCTTAAAAATCTCCAGTAATAAAATAATTTCTTATCTTGCTGTTATCTATAGTATAACCTGCTATAACAAGTAAATGTTTGATTATGTTTCCGTTTCGTATAGTCTGATAAGCCTATAGAGTATAAATGTATTGTTTGATGTATAAATGTATTGTTTAAGTTATAGGATATAGGTTTATTAGCTTTGGAAGT